TGCTTATATGCGTCCACTTGGACCACTCCTGTTCCGGCATCAAATTTTGCAACGCCTTTATCACATAAAAGTTATTACTTTTTTCTTTCTTTTATTCAACTTTTTTTGAATGATTCTTTGACACTCGTTTGTTGCAGGCTTGCAACAAAGGTGACGCAAATATTTTGTTTCTTTTCTTAAGACTCTGTTGGTTTCTTCCTTTTTAATGCTCCTTTATTTATCAATGTACAACAATAATTTCAATAGCTTGCATTGAAGATACATGTGTCACTCTTTTTCTCTTTAACACTAAACATGAATGTCATTAGCGTGTCGCTTTTTTGGCTCATTGAAGCTGCTTCGTATGCACGGAGGTGCCGACAATGCGCCACCCAAGCTTCTCTTGGAGCTCCAACTTTCAAAGTTAATACGCACGCGCGCCAAACATCTCGTCCTCTATTCGTCCGATTGTCCCGCACTGGTAATCATTGAGTTATAATTCGTCAATTATTCATTTTGGTTTGAAACCCCCATTGCTGCTGTTGCGGCCGACGCTGCAGGTGAACTATTATAATGTGATCGCCAGAGCAACGCGCACGCACAGTCCAAATTCAAGCTGAATTTCTACTTTTAAATACTGTCAACCTGCTCGCTTCATTTCGGATGCATGAACTTGTTCTGCAAAGTGTAATCCAGCGGCACATCGTTGGCAATTCTATGAGGACGCAGCAATATTTATTACCTCCCTATAAGCGTAGCAAGTTTTGACTGTATACCAACTACGAATGAGCTGGTGTTAGTGATGATGGTGTTAGTACTCTTGCAGGACTGGTTTATGCAGAATATTCTTCTTTTTCTTCATCTCTTTCTCTCTCTCCCTCCCTCTCTCTCTCTCTCTTTTATTGTAATGTGGCTGCGCTGCACATATACTCATTTTAATAACCAATATCTTGTAATTACATTTTACGCAATCGACTTTGTTCACGCATCGCCAAAAAGTACTTTCATATGAACAATCGACTTTTCAAAATTATCTTTTGTCATAATAAATCCGATGTTAATAAGATGATTTTTATCAATAGTACATTTTCACTTTTACGAATTTTTCCTCGTTTATGGATGCGGGTCATACAAATCAAGTATTGCATAGTAATTACACGAGGTATTAGTAATTAGTAATTATACGCTTATACGATTGCATTTAATTAACTGTAATCATTACTTTACTAATCGTTTATCCATTTGTTACATTTCACTCATCAGTAAAATAAAACATGTCAAAATCGCCATTATGATTTATCAAAACATTTTGTCATAATATTGGTTTGCGAAACCCATGTAATTCTCAAAGATAAGGCTTAACAGTGCCAATTTTTATGTTATTTATAATCCTGGTCTAGATAATAAAAAAAAGGTTCAGCGAAAAATTTCGCGCTCCATTTCGCTTTCGTACACAATGCATACATAATAACTAGCTTAACCAAGGAACGAGATCTAACAGACAACATCCCTACATTCATCCTTCCGACTATGAACTCAGTTTCATTGTCCCGATATTCTGTGGAGCTTAGTTTTTCTTTTCTTCCGCTATTTCTACCTTCTGACTACCTTTTCAAAACTCGTGTTTGTATTTTCGAGTGCCTAGTTCACCCTGTACTCGTCTTGGCATATGTACAAAAAGTTCGTGATAATTTTAAAAGAATTAAAAGATAATTAGAAGTTAGAAGTGGGTATTACTCACTGAGTAATGTAGAGTTTATGAACTAAAATTCCAATTAAGTACTAGAGAACAAAAAAAAAGTATAACTTATAAATATAAAAATTATCATAATTACGTCAATATTGTATCCTTAAGAGTTAACTCGCATAATAAATCATAAGTTATAGTTTTGAAATTAAACATTTTAACATATACGTTTTATAAACATCTTCTGATTATTTTTTTAAGCTTGAGCTGAGTAATTTACTTTATGATCGATATTTGCTTAACTCTAAATCTTAAATCATAATTTACGATTTCTAGTTACAATTTAGGTCGCCGCTAAAAAATGATAAATCGAGGTAAATGTAGAAAACCTTAAATGATAAAGTACATATTTCTGCAAAGCTCTCATAATGAAGTTACACAAACAGAAAATAGAAAAATGAAGAAGTAGTTATTTTAATACACTTGACGCTTGTCAGACTTAACGTTTTCCTTGAAGAGGATAACAATCACAATTATTAGAGCATCAAATAAATCCTTTACTCATTCTCATGTCATGGGGTAGTCAGCATCAAAAAATTCACTTCAAAACTTGTTTCACGTTGTTTATATAGGGTATTTGTATATATATCTATATGTGCCTAGCGGAATTCTTCAAACTAGAGGGTTTCTTGACTGAACTGAAATTCGAAACGGAAGCCCCCACCCCTTACCTCTCTGCAAGCCATAGTATATGTGTGTTATATGTGTATGTGCAGCGTATGTAGACTGTAGCGCAGTATGCGTACGTACTCTGCAGCACCGTGTCTTAACCGAATGTTCGAACGAAGTTCACAACCAATTCACATTTAAATTGATCCTCGTCACGTATCTTAAACCAATGTAAAGCACACTTCATTGGAGGGGCTCTAACTCTACATATCGTGTACGTAAATATATCAAAAAACTTCGAGCTTCATTGTGGGCCGATATTGTGCTCGTTGGGCCAAGAGGGATCTTAGAGATAGCTCAAACCTTGAACTTCCTTGGGCACTCGAAGTAGCAGCGGTGTCAGTAGCTGGGCACCGTTTAGCATCGTCTTCGGGCATTGTTGCTTCGGCCGTCTTTGCCTCCTACTTCTTTCTTTATCTTCTCGATCAGTCATGCTCGACCCGAGAAGTTCGTCTGCGTATCTTCGTGCCGAACTTCTCTCCAGCGAGCTTCACTGTTTTTTCTTTTGCGTTGCACCACCTCTTGGAGACATTCACACCGAACGTGTTTGGCTCTTCCTCCCGCTTGTATGTACATACGTGTACCATTTCGCAGCTGAGCGAACTTCATTCAGAGCTATTAGATGATGTAGCACTTGATGACACTTATCTCGAGATTTCATCGTCTTGTCTTTACTTGATCAACGGCTAACGGATCACCTAGAACTAAGACTAGCATGAAATTTGACAAGAGCCCCGAAGGATCCATGATCTTAGAAAAAAATATTAGCTAAACTACATACTTCATGTGAAAGGATGTGTCAAAAGACTTGAAACGTTCAAGCAACGCCTATTATTTGGTTCAAGATTCATATTTTGTCAAATAACAAAGTTTTTAAATATTATGTTATGTTTACAAGTCAATGAAACGTCAAAACGTTAATTATATGTCTAGAGAGGGTCGATAAATCTGAAATTTTACAGCCATTTATTATAATTATGAGGACCTATTTTATTCAGTTTTACTCGATCTGAAGCTAGTTTGAATATGAATGATACTTCTGTGACTGCATATTATTCATGAATTTTATTGCGGCTTTGTTTGCATACCATACCTTGTGTATGACCTGTGATTCATTGTAATATTGAAGTATACTCTATTATTATAAAAATCCCTTATAATCTTAGCAGTGTGCTCTTATGATTAAAATCATTGTCGAATTCTGTTTTTGTCGGTAGATAATTATACTCTACGCACGTCCCGTCAAAGATTTGCTTCAAAATCCCATCCTTTCGTCGTGTTCATTGAAGTTTAAGAAGGGAAAATATGAATAAAAAATTGTTCTGGTGCGAAACTCATCAATAGACAAATCTTGGGAAAGAAAAATTGCATTCTCAGGTTGTGTGAATATGTATGGATGTCGCGAAAGGTGCAAGGAAACAGTAGGTGCATGACACGTAAACAAGGGCTTGGATTCTGAGTGTGGCACTCGACTATTATAGAGGCCTAGACAAATAGACGAGAGTGAATGGGGTCGCAGGTTTGTAACGCAGAGACAGCAGTAGCACGTGAAAATACAGAAGTACGAGAGCCTTGGATCGGATGCGTTCACATAAATAAAACTCGGCCTGGAGTCTCACCAAGCCTGATTGTAATACTGGTAAATAATAAAAGGCAGCCCGATGATAGCAGCCACCAGATTTCGCGGCTTTTTCGCGTGTCCTCGGGCGAAAAATATACCAGTCTTGCCTCTCTAGTAGTAAAGCTAGTTAACCCGGAAGTCGTAGAGAATGGGAGAGCCGCGAAAAAAATTCGTTAGATGCGCTGGTCGAGTTGGCGGTTTTTACCCTGCTCTCGGCTAACCGGTATATCGTATATTGAGCTTGCACCACGACGAGGCCAACATTTTCATGGGAAAATCATTTTGTCGCTTATAAGACGCCCCGATCTCGTTGACTAGCTTTTTTTATAACGTTTATAACTCGTTGTTACGCTTATGAGGAATAAGCAAATCAGGTGTGCATCGGTAAATATGACGTTCTTGTTCTACTCAAAGCTTATTCAATGCCGTTATTATGCTCTTGGCATGGGAAAATAATAGTTTTACGAATGCCTTGGCTCGGGATGGACAATTTTGAAACAATAGTATATTTTTCAACGGGTGCAGATATGGTTTTTTTTTTGCAAAACGAGGGATTATGTAACAGGTTTTGTTAAAAAACATTACCTGCGCCAGTTGATGATACTATTTTTTCCTACGAGAACCTAAAATTAGCGGCAAAGAAATGAAGAAAGAAGGGGAAAAAATGTTGCACTTCTGACCATCTTAAAAATATTACTTCACTTACACCTTATGATGACACACAATACCACCTATTTTCCTCATTTTCTTGTATGGTGATGGGACTTTTAATATCAATTTCTTCTAATATTATAATTCGAATAATATTAATTCTATTGTAGGACGAAAACCAAGGTGATCGATATTACAATAGCCTAATGATTTACAAACAAATTTTAGTAAAATTTAACATCAATTTGAACCCACTGGTCTTTGTCGTTTGATAATTGAAATAATTTTGCTACTATTAAACGTACTCCAAGTAATGATATAATTTTTTTTCAGGCTATTCATTTTTAGGATCGGCACTAGTCGTCGAACCATCAGTGGCCAGCAGCACGAAAAAACGGTAAGATTATCATTTAATTGTCATTCATAATTTTCTTCATGACCTTGCAAACTTCTCGTATCGTCTACATTTTACGGAGCTACATATTTTTAATGGTCCGTAAAAATAGATATCGATCCACCTATTACTAAACATCGATTTACTTCTATTTGATAAATTCAGAACTATTTAATTGGAAACTCCCATTCAATTTGAGTTTTTTTTGTTTTTCTTCTCATTGAAAGGTTATTAACAATACCTTAATTTGACCAATCGATCGGTGCTAATTTTATAAAAATCTTATTTCTTATCGTATCAGTCATACTAATAACTATATGAAACAATGTGGATATTAAGACTTTAAATATAAAAGTATAGCGAACCCGTCACACAGACATCAAGGAAAATATTTAATAGATATAATTCGTAAAGAAGAGAATCTATTGTACAATGCGCGTATATTAATTTAATTTTAACCAATTTACTTTGAATACAATCAATCACTCACCTAACCTGAGAAATAACACTATCAAGACTTATAGGTATTATTAAAATTATGAATAACTTATAATTTTGCGTCATAATTCTTACTCTGTTATGAATATATTGTAACATCGATAAAAATTGCTGACTCAAGTACCTTTAAGAAAGTCTATAAACTTTTAGGTACACATGCAAACCACGCGTACACTGCTATTTATGAGCATACTCTTGACAAAAGGGTCAAACGAGAGATTAATAGACCTTGAAAAACGAGGAATGAAAAAATGAAGGGAACAAGTTACTGAACGGTTTTATCACCCAACACGTACGCGAGAATAAAAAAAAAGTATTCATACATATACCTTCAGTTTTGCATAGCAGCATCATTGATGCTCATCTAACTTCCTGGTGTGCGCGTCTGAAAGATAAACACGCGGCAGTAACATCGGTAGCATCAATAGAGCCTTGTAATCGGATATCACACTGCACTTGTATGCACTTTGTCCGGGCTATTTAACATAACAATGAAAGCTGCTGCTGCTGCTGCTGCTGCTGCGACGAAAGGAATGAATGAGCGAGAAAAAGAGAGATTGGTTGCAGCGCTGCTGCTGCTTCTGACCAGTTTGGGGGCGCCCCTTGACCGCATTACTACACATATACGTGCTTCAAGGAGTCAACCCCTTTTTCTCGCTTCCTTATGTCCACCGTCGCAGTCGTTCACCCCTTTTGGGCAATAATGTTTTCACTTTAGCGCCGCGCGTATTCAACTTATCCACATTTCAATACTTTCAACAAGAGTCAAAGAATGTCCTTTTAAAATGAAAATACAATAAACAATAAAATCAATTTAATCTTATGAATCATTTATAAACGAAGCAGTGCAATTTCATAGTTAATTTGTCGGTATACACAAACAATAGCTCGACAGGATAAAGTGCTATCCCGAACCATTAATTCGTGCAAGTACAGATGGATCTTTTTTAATTGCAAATTATCGCGAAACAAAAATTGAAAGAAAGAAAAAAACGGAACAGACTGGAGAAAGCGAAAAAAATTCATGTCAGGTGTACGGGTGCGCTTGTCGATGGACAACAATCCACGCTGGGTGGCTCTTAAATTGGGTTCCAAAAGTGCATATCCTGGCCCGAGTCTTCTTCTTATTCATGTATACACGCATTCGAGTAAAAGAGAGAAAGAAAAAGAGAGAGCTAAAACACGTTCTGTCCGCTGTTTCTTCGACACGGTTGCACGAGGCACGCGCCGGTCTCGTGCTGCAACTCCCCACTATTGGCACACAGGGTCGGGCACAGTGGCGATGGTGGCGAACCGCTTTTCGGTTCCTTCTTTTTTTTTCCTCTAGTTTTCTGCATCTCTCCCTCTCTGCGTCGAGGCTCCGTCTGTCGTTACTGACGCGCTACAAAGCACCACCGAATGTTCACCCTTTTTGTCCCTCCTTACCTTTGGCAATTTCTCTTCCCTCCTTTTTCTGGCTATTATGCGCCTCGGTCTGCAAGAGCCGAAAGCGACTCCTCCCCTACATTATGCACGCTTGACCTCGGATATGTATGCATATAGACTGCACCGAACTCGCCCCTTTCTGCAGCAGCTACATAGCCTTTCGGACTGTCCTTGCCCGCATCGCATTCGACGCTCTCCTCTTGTCTCGTTCCATGCAGTGCATACGCGTGCTCGACCTATGCATGTGATGCACTTGTTGCGTAGCCAAAGCGACTCGACTACTTACGCCATGTTGTTCGATGTAGTATTTCGACAACTTACAGAACAAAACGCAACATTTCGCTGTTCCTTATTTCAAATATGAATTAACTTTATATGTTCAATTAGAAATCCTTAAAATCACAAAATGAACGTAATAAACGTAAAATGATAGCGGAATCGCGCAGTTTTTCAATATAACTATAGCATATCAAGGGTTCGGTTTTGTTCTAGTTTTCTCTTTGCGGTGTCTTTTTTCTTTGTCAGTACTTTTTTTTAACGCCTACAACTCAGTCTCCCACTAATATGAGAGAAAAAAGTCACTATTTCAAGTGTATATCATAAACATGGTTTATTATAATAAGCATAGAACATAGAGGACAATGTCTTCCAGGAGTACTGAAGGCGAATCCTTTACCAACCCCAATTCTCATTTTATATTTCTCTCTGCACAAGCAAACATACACATATAATATGTATATATATAGATGCGTGTGTATCACAATCACACGTGTATGCTTGCTTTGATTTCGGGCATTCAGTTCGTCGTACACGCAGGAGCTAGAAATTTTATTTACTTCTGGCTCTGCATGATGTAAGTTTATACAAGCTAGTGGTAGTACGCACAGCTGAAGTAGTAGTAGTTTCAGGTCCGCGAGCAAAAATGAATGTATGTGCGTGCGCGTGTGTGTGTGTGTGTGTATGTGTGGCATCATCGGTTACATATTATACTGGTTCCGCGGAGATTAGAATCTCTTATTCACTACCCAAGCTTGCTCGCGCCCGATGTTTTCCTATATGCAAAAGAGAGATTATTAGATGATCCCCAAGCCTAACTAGTGTGCGCTAGTGAGAGAGAGAGACAGAGTGAAGGCAGTTGACGCGTAAAGAGGGCAATCTAAACATTTAACTGGGTCTCTCTCGCGTATAATAGGCTCTTTAAACCCTTCGGCTCTCTCTCTCTCTCTTTTTCTCTTTCTCTCTCGTTTTGATCATGACAATTTCTCACTATTCTCTGAATGTGTAAGCTATTCCTAAGACTCTCGTTTTCAGGGCAACGCAATTCGCTTCGTAGTCGACCGGTGTCGCGACTACTCTTAGGGGATATAATTACAGCGAGTAAGGGTGTCTCCTACCATCTGAAAATGATCTTTCTTTTAACTAAAAACTTTCATAAAAAAAACTGTCCATGTTTGTCGAAGTTATTTTTGTATACTAGTTCCATTTTCGAGTGCCTTATTTCTTTATATCACTTTTATTGTTGATTGTTTCAAGTGCACATATCTGTTATGCACGTCACAGTTTTTCTTTATAAATACAATACATGACTTTTCAACAAAACAACTCATCACTGGTCACAACAAATAAAAGTTTAAACCCACAGGTCCTCGGACTTGGGCTAATGCGAGACAGTGGGGGAGGGGGGTAGTAAAAATCTCTCCTGCACACGGGCTATATAGTCTCCTGCAGGCCTTCCTAGCAAGCAGCGATAGAGAAAAAAATATTACTATTCTTGACTGACAGACAATTGAACATTGAAAATCATTTAAGGCTAGAGTCACGTAATTGACAACTAGTAAGAAAAATAAATAGTGAAAATTTAGACAGTTCATAACTACTTTTGTACGTGTACTTTTGTAATTATTGAAATCTGTATTAGATATGAATAAAATTAGCCTGAAATAAGGGTACACTTTATACAATTGTTTGGTATTTTTTTATGAAAAGTAATAAAGACTTTTCATATTATATAAGAAGAGCATTTACGTGTATGACAAGGGTTCATGAATGCTGTAAAAGTAAAGAATGTCTCAGATCAAATGTATATCATGTGATCGAAGGGGGGAGGGGATTTTACTTTCGGTCAGGAAGAAAAGTAATTCAACTAAAAATATATATATAAAACTACCTATTTGTAATAAAAGCATGGATGAAAGTTTTTCTTTCTGGATAGTTTAGGTGTTCGTTTAGCTTTTTGTTAATGACCCCAGTAGGGAGCTTGAGTTTTGTTAGGCTGAAATTAATAATTCTGATTGGGATTAAAGATAATCAAATTTAAAAAAAATAAATCACAGAAAAATGGAAAAAACATTAATTGTAAAGTGCATCCTCTTTTTCAGCAATGAATTCAAGTCCATTCTTGAATCAATAATTAAAAAATTGGATTTATTGAGCATGTGATTCAACAAACATGCACCATTTCATTCCTTAATGAATCGACGCAGACCGTCAATTATTTTTTCTGATACGATTTTTTTATGTATTTTACAATCACGATTTCAGAAGAAAACTTAGAGCAGGTAATTTTGATTTGGTTCATTCATTGCGTAATAATCTGCACGTGCAAACAAACTGACAATAAATTCCAGTTGCTGCAAAGATCAAGTAAATTCTTTCTCGTTCAATTTATCCATTGAACCGAATTTCAATTAATGAAAGCAATTGATAATATTACTCGATAACAAGTAAGCGAGCGATAGATGTAAACACTTTTCTAAAAAAATGTACTTTCAAAACATGAGCAAGGAAAATACGTATTACATGAAATTGTATCTACGTGAAATTTGTGTACGTTAAAATTTACTACGATGACGGTATGCCTATCGGATAAATATTTGGCGCAGGACCTACATATTTGCAAGATGAGCATCTCATTAAATCGGTACGTGTTATTGTTTGTGTTTGGCTGTGCAGTCCCTTCCTCAGCGTGCGACGTGATATGTATGTACTTGCTTGTGTTCACATCATGTTGTCTGCTTATCTCTCTCTCTCTCTCTCGATTTGCGCGAGCCAAAGTTGCGTCGTCGTCTACATTGCGTATCACGTATACTGATACTGCTTTCAGTACCCGACTATTCTCACATCTGTGATCGACGATCACCAGTTAAGTGTCATACTCGTCTGTTTTTATATACATATCGTTTGAAAAAAACATTCATCAAATAACCAGAAAAAACTTGTTTTACTCGCTGTGATAATTATTTTCTTTGGGGCATGATGTCTACATATGCAAGGCACAATTATTCCTATTACCCACCACAAGTGACGAACATGGTTTACTTTAATCGGAATATTGCTACTTATGGGTATTCACCAAAACAAGTGTTATCTGGTTACGATGTAAACGGCAACACGACCAAGGTCAGCAACGCCAACAAGCGGCAGAGGTAATTTGACTTTTTTAAATGACCATTAGAAAAATGTCAAATTTAATTTAAAAAAAAAACAGTCGAGTTAGAGAAAAAAACGGAAAAAACGAAGCAATAACTGTAAGCGTATTTATAATTACTTGTTCTCGGCAATATTATACATGCGGCACATTCCGTTTCTACGACTCATCGTGTTCGCGTTCACGTCGCCTGTGTGCGTGTATACAAATCAATAAATATTCACGACTTAATACACGTGTGCGGCCTTTCGCGAACAAATATTTCGTATAATTCTCGCAAAATCATGAATTATACACTTCGTTCACGATCTATATAGAAAAATAGCCCACTAGAGTCGGCTTTAGTACAAAAAATAGCCTTTCATTGTTATTCTGACGTCGGATGCCAGTGACTTTAAGCCAATTTTTTTTTATTGTTGTGTAGTTTTTTCTTTCCTTTCTTTTATCAGCTAAAGTCAATAAACTCTTGCTTGCCTATACGATTTGTTGTAAATTGTTGATTTACTTGAATGAAACGAATAATTTGAAAGATGTATTGTTTACCCTTAGCGTATACGAGCACATTGGATTTTAATCGTACACAAAAGATAATTCTTGACAATTCCCTGCGCGTCATCCAGTTCAGGTGCGTGTATAGTTGTAAGACTAAGCGAGCTGTATACAGTTACATGTACGCACAGCTGCATAGATCATTCGAGAATTTCGAGATCCTCGGACTCTACTTGTGCACATATATATGTACACCAACACTTTATTCGTGTACATTTTTCTTTTGCTAGCGTAAAGTCTCTTTCTCTCTCTCTCTCTCTATCTCTCTTTCTCCCTCTTTCTGTCCGCATGAAATCGGGTCACCAGCACATTTTGGTCACAATGGACCCTGAACCTTGGCCATATACGTACATTATCCGCGGGCTTTCAATCGCTTTTGTGAGTCTACATACAGTGAAAGCCAACTGCACGGTTAAACTCTCCTTCGTTCACCCGCATTCACGATTGTGTTTTGCTTGCTATGCGCGTAAATTTTGACTATTATACATCTGCCGAATTTCGAAGTTTTTTTTTCCATAGTTTTCATGTTTCTCGTCATTCTAAATATATTTGAGGACTTTTTATTGATCGTTCAAACTTCTTCATGATATTATTATTCAATGTTATCAGCTACTTTTGTATCTATTCTTAAAATAATCCTAATGAAATCTTCATTTTTAAAAATTAAATGTTGCTTTGAAAATGGAAATTTTACAAACTCTAATAAACACAAGTAATAAGTATTGCAAAAATTTTTTTTTTACCATCTATCAATCCAGATTATTGATAGACAGTATGATCAATACATTGAGTTTAAATCTATTACAATAGTTTATTAACGCGTCGACCCTTTTTACATTCCTCATTTTTGAATCGGTAATTTTTGCAGTGCGCAATACTGTTCAACGCGTAAAAACAAGTACTTATTGACATTGGAAATTCGGGCAAAAAATTTTTCCACTATCGTCGAAAAGCTATCATCTCAGCGCTTTTCGACGAGAAAGCAAAAAAAGAGAGAGAGAGAGCCGCTAGCATTTGTTTGTTGTACCGGTGGTGGTGGTAGGGCAGAGGGTAGGAAAAAAGGGAAATGCATCACCCCGCCACTACAACGTAAGCTCACAATAATGTGGGGGACGAAACTGGGCGCGGCTTAAGAATAAGTCCATACGCGGTTCTTTTACCGGGTAATTTTTGTATAAGAATCAAAATGTTGCTAGTTTTCTTGAAAAATCGTAAGAATTTTCATTTCAATTTAGGCTTTTAATGCAAGATTACATTATGCAAGTTCCTGATCAATGATTCAGCTGATATGAATTATGCGAAGACCATGATTTTGCAAAAATTACTTTTGGAAAAAATTAATCATGAAGGTCTAATCAAAGAACTGAAAATGATTGCAAAAACCACAAAGCTCTCATTTTATTAATTATAAATCTTTCAATAGAATTATAAAATCGAAAACAGTAAAAAAAGTTAAACAGTACAAATTTATTGGACCAGAAAAAAAATATATGAATCGTTCGATAAAATAAAATTTCCATTTTGAATTTGGAGCAATTTTAGTACCCTAGCACAAGCCTGACGGGGTAATAAATAATGATTAATTCGAACAACGGTCATTTCATCTGTTCATGTGTTATATTGTACATATTGTATATATTGTATATACGTTGCATGTATTGTACGGGTGCGCGTGGACGAAAGAACCACCCTTAGTCTATAAAGGATATCAGGATTTTCCTCGCGTACATATATCCCTTCTCTTTTCCGAGCTCACCAACTCTCCAACGGAACATTCGCTTCCCCAGGCGTCGATGACGGCGTCGCCGTTTTCTTTCCGTCTCCCCCTTTTGCCGGTTGCCGCTGCACGCCGCGTTACGTACACGTATCGGGTTTGCAACGCGCCAGAAAGAGACGGGAAAAGGCTCGCAAGTGCGTCGCCGAGTGGAAAAGAGAAAGAAAGAAAGAGATAGAGAGATAGCGAGAGAGATAGAGAGTGTAGAAAAAGCGGAGAAAGAGTGCAGATTCGGCGCTGCTCGGCTCGGTAGGCCATTAATCGCGAGTAAGATTTCGCGAGGAGACCGAATCGCAACCGAGGCGAGCCTCCAGATATCCACATGCGCTGCTACTCTACACGTCCGCGTCCTACGTTCAAAGGACACGATTTGTCAAGCGCCCCGACCACCTACGATCACTAACACACCACCTCAACATCAATAAATTCGTTCCGATGGACGAATAATAAATCAATCGCATCAATAGTCAAAAATATCCGTCATCTATTATTTTTTTAATTCATCGTCAGCATGTTTCAAGATATGGTGCTCTGATACCAGACAATCGTCAAGAAATAGTTCACCGATGCCACCAAAGTGCCATCTCCATACAGTAACTACAGAATAGAACAACTTAGTATATTAAGAAAAAGTGAAGCAAAAATAGGAAGTAAATACAGAAGAGACCATACGGAAGTGTGCAAAGCTTGTTGTGACGCTCGCAAGTGAAGTTAAGCTCGGTACATCGAGTCATCGTTGCACGCGGCACAAAGTAATAATCGCCGATTGCCAACAAAAGTGTAAAGTGCGAGTGAACTTGAGGCGAGGAGCTTTTTTCGCTGGAGTTTCTTTTGAGCCCTCTTCTCCTCCTTCTCCTCCTCCCACGCGCGCCGCTTTCGACTCTGGAGCGCTGCCGGAGAATTCCGAAAAGTATAGAGCTACGCTTGTTTTGGCCTACGCTGTGTGCGGGAGTTTGCCCACTCCGTGAGAGGGAGTAGTGGCGAAGAAAAGAGAAAGAGAGAGAGAAATACACGAGCGAAACGGAGGGAGAAGAGCAACAGAATCACACGTACACACACGCACACATCGGCAGATTTCGGAGAAGCCGGCTTGTCTAGGAGCCGAGGAGCTGCGCGCGCTGCTCTCTATTACTACTTTTAGTTCTCTCTCTCTTTCTCTCTCTCTCTCTCTCTCTCTAGTTTGCTTGCTTGCTTGCTCTCACTTTCTCAATCTGTGCGTGTGAGCCATATGTGTGTGTACGTGTCTATATTCGAACAGCGTGAATAAGCTAGCGCGAGAGAAAAGAGAGAGAAGAGAGAAGGCGCGTTCTCGCGAGAGAAAGAGACAGAACGATCGGCGCTTCGCTTTTGGGAGACTTCGCTCGTGGAGCCGCTCCGACTCGAGTTTTAGTTCAAAGCCGAGCGTTAACGTACGCTTGTAACAAAACGAATTATATATTAAACTCGATCTCAACGAAAAACGGCGCTCTCATCGCCGCCACCGCCTCCGCCGCCGCCGCCACCACCACCAGCAACAACAACACCCCCACTTTTTTCCGAGCTCACTGATTTTTTTTCACTTTCTCTCTCTCTCGCTCTATCTTTTCGTTCTTTTTTCACCTCCATTCACCCGCGCAGCCCAAAACTGGGGGACGCAATTTTCACCGGACGGAATAGTTTTCAGTTTATATAGACAGTTCAACGTCACGGAGCGATACAACTACACCTACAAATAAGAATTTCAAGGATCGTCACTTTTGTGTCCGATTGTTCGTTTGTGCATGTGCTAAGTGTGAACTTGTGCGTCCTCTCGATATACATATAATTATATATCGGGTAGTTGTGAGTGTTTTATGCACATACTGTTACAACAGAAAAGCAACAGGGAAAAGAGAGCAAGAGAAGAACGAAGAAGATAGTAGTCTGCTTCAACAAGATACCAAGCTTCCAGATTTTTATTCAAGTATAAAGCTGTGCGCGCGTGATTTTTCGCTCTTTTTCTGCCTCTCGAGAAAAAGAGTTGAGTGTGTTTTTATTTGTGCTATACGCATGTTACAGAGATATATTATTTATATATAGATAGATATATATAAGAATTATATACGTAAATAATAATCAAAGAAAAGAGTAGATTTTGTTGACTGACGCGCTGTAAAGAAGAAATTATCAAGCTGCAGAGATCAAAATATATCCTAGTATTATTGCCATAATATACTTAGTTACGTGTGTTCAAAATTGACTCGATTTTACAAAGTGAGAGATAATAAGAAAAAAGAACGTTTGTTTTTCGTCGATCTACAATTTCACGAATCAACGATAAAAAAAATGGAGAAATACGGAGACGCTAATCCGCTGCAAAAGGAAATGGAACGATTGGAGATCGAAGAGAAAAATGGAGATGGATTAAGGTAGGATTGTCTTGTCATAAATCACGGGTAAAAATCGTATTTTTCTCCACGTAATGGAATTATCTGTTTCCTTTTTTTCATAAATTATGTAAAAATTAAAAAAAAAAATTTACTCGAGGCCCATCCAAGCGCGCGAAGAATTTCGAGATCGCTGCGTGCGATAAGAGAAGACGTTCGTAGACCGCAACTACGCTGTATAGTTATGTAATTTAGAATGCGAAATCGAAGCGTCGAAGAGAAAAAATATCTCCCCCCAAGATTTTTGTCCAAGAGTAAAGCGGCACATTTAGCCGCATAGTTTTAGAATAAGGCCAAAATTTTAACTGTTTTTGATTGAATTCAAGAAACATCTGTCGTTCGCGATCGTTACAAATCTGCAAAAATCGGTTGAAATCTTCAAAATTGTTATCATGAATTGCTCTGCCACGCAGCTGCCCGACTCAAATAGTCTTCGGTCGAAATTATATGAATTGTAAAATTGTTCTTGAGTCGTATCAGCTCGGCCGAAATCACGTTAGAGCTCTTCAGAAATTATCAGAAATATTATAGCTCATTAGCGATGCAACACTTGCAGAGAATCAATTTTTTCATAAGCGATTTGTTCCATTATTTTTGCTACGTCAGACAAAGTCGCCAAATCGCAAACACGCGGGGTCGTCTCTTGGCAGATTGAATGGAAAATTTTTTCCATTATCATAGTTACATGTACACGCGTTACAAAAGAATTTTTACTCGGTGCCCGTACTTGCGCGAGCGATATATACTTTCGAGATTAACGGTACGCATCAGTAAACACATTTTGTAAGTATTACTAGTCGTCATTGGCATATTGTCTTCAAAAATATCGCAAAAAGTTCAATACCGAAGATCGAATAATGGACCAACCATTCACGTGATTCTATAGTAGAGTTAGCAAAAATCAAATACTTTACGCCCGAATGATCTCTCTCTCTCTCTCTCTCTCTCTTTCTCTCTCTTTCTTTCTTTATTTATTTACTTGTCATCCAAATACAATCGGGTCGTTAGTCGCTTCTTAGGATTATCTGTGAGAAAGATGAAATAATATTTATGACTCATAGAGATTCAACTCGTTATGCGTTGTCAATTTTCTGTGTTTCTTTATGTATACAAACATTTTAATAGGAAGGAGAATTTAACTTGTTTAAAAGTATCAATCAAAATCGGAAAATTGTTCATTATTTGAAGAAATTATTGTAAAAATATCAGTACATGAAAGAATTTCGTTTCAGATCTTTGTGTAATTTCACACTCGAAATTCCTTAAATAAATACATCGGTGAGAATAAGAATTTTGGAACTTAACCGAACATAGTTACCGATTCGATCGAAAGAACACGTTTCAGTTCCCATGAGTTGAGAAGGCCTATCCTAGACCTAGAATTAAAAATCAAGTTTTCGGTTTTACAAGATCGCAGTGATTGTACAAAGGACATGGACAAAAAGTGAACTCGCGAAACTTGAAATGCGTGCAACCCCGAAAGTATCCAATGGATTCGCGTTTACGGATAGCTTGGCAAGTCAGAGTCGAGTTCGAAACTCGCTCGGCTTTGAATAATGTAATTCCCAAGTAATGAGTTTTTGACTAGAGCCGAGTGTCGAGCGCTATACTATTTCGTGGCCAGAGTTGTGTTTCCAGTTGACAATTTATCATGTACAAAAGAGAGGGAAAAAATTCGTGTTATCTGCCCCGATACGAAGTAAATATTTCCTGTACGAGATCAATAAAGCGTGAACGGCTTACGCACACTAAAATTTTTATCTGAAAAAAAAAGACCCGATAATAACTTCATGAATGAAGTGTCGTTTAGCTACTCGAAACTGTCGCCGTAGAGTATGTCAGTAGTGTCCCTTGGAAGCCTAGAACGTTCCATATAGTTTCTTAGCATCATCGGCGTGCGTGGAAAAATTCAAAGCGTGAGAAACTTTTTGTCGATCCTCGTGAGGTTGTCGCGCGCAGCGTAAGGCTTTAGAAACTAGCGAGAAAAAAAAAGAGAAAAAAATGAAACACGCGCGAGTTTGTGTGTGTGTTCTTCGGAGCAAAGCGTGGCGCGATGCGTTGGCAGTTTGGCAGCGCGATGACCAGCTTGGGCATTTTCCTGACGTTTGCGTACGTGGTCCGAGCTTCGTAACGCACAAGTGCGCGCAAGCCTCGACAGATAGTCGAAATATTCGCACTATCAGCCCAGCAAATGGCCACCATCTGCTCGATTGAAAAAAAAACATCATCATCATCATCTTGACTTTCCGATTGTCGCGCCCATACATTACACATAAGTCGGCAGCAACGTTCTCGAAGTTTTTAATCGATGAGAGCCGTGCGCGTGCGTGGCGAGTGGAGTTACGGTGTGAGCGAAAAACGCGTTCATCTTCGTCATCGTGGATATACTATCCGCGCGGGCCATAACATATCGGGGCTTTACACGCGCACACACACACAAAAATATATATATGTATAGAGAGAGAGAGAGAGAGAGAAAGATAGAAAGAGGCAAGCATACGGACATTTTCGTTTTTTCCCCCTCGTTCGTTCGCGCGCGCGACTCGCTCGACCTCGAAAACACCACGACCAGCCCGAATGGTATATGTATCTATAGGCACTAGGCAGCTACTATACATATACACCAGGCGCGTCGTTTTCCGCAGAGAGATACTTTCGTACGCACTTTTCTGAAAACATCGAGCAGTAGCAGCAGCAGCCTATAATGTGAGATTTAGGCATGCTTCTCTACATTACTACTATACGAGTATCTATACTCTGTATATGTTCGCTGCTCTCCTCCTGTTTTTTCTCCTTTTTTTCGGTAAAAGAGAGAGAGAGAGAAAGAAGGAGGAAGAGCGCCAAGGCCGCGACCCTCCGCTTCTCTTTTATAATATGGCACGTAGAACAGACGATTTATACCGCGAGATTCGAATCGTCAAGCGACACGTGGATGGCCTCTCTCTCTCTTCTCTTTATGCTATTTCGCCTTCGCTCACTCTCGTTTTCGTCTTTTCTCCTCTCCTTCGTTTTAGCTTACACATATATACATCCATCTTTATCTTTCGTTCTTATACACATATGACGTATACATATAGACTCGTTGTTTGCTCGCTTACTTTGAGCCAGCTCTACGGCTGCTGATGCCTAGAAATGGTCATGTACGCTATACTCTGGTCGAAAAAAAAGAAAACAAAAAAGTCAATTTGAACGCCTAGAATGATTTGCAATTGCCAGGCTCATTTTTGCCCAAAGGAAATATTTGACGCGAGCTCTATTCTTTGTAGCATCGTAATAAAAATATTAAAAGGTCCTAGGAAATGTGTCATGTTAATATTATTGGGCAGTTTTGACGTTTCAGCGACAGTGTTAAAAAATGCACCTTGGAAATACTCGTTGAAAAAATCTCTATACTAGCCGGTAATAATTAAAATAGTCCATGCTGGAAAGTTGGTCCGTATAAAGGCCCAATACGCCCAGATTCTAATACTCGAACGCGACTGTAAAAGCTGCCGCTGGTCCCCCTTACCGATATTCTTTCTCTCTTTTGTAAATCAAAAATAGAACTCGAGATTAAAAAGGCGCGCTGGTCGTCGGACAGTAGTAGTAGTAGTGTCAGCATCCGGAGAGCGTTAACCGCGAAGAATAAAAAAGCAGCGACATTCACCACGTGTACAAGCGATACACATTACGCGCAGCCTCCCTCTCTTCCTCATCGCGCGCACTATAACGCGATGCATATATATACTAGCAAGCAGTTGATTATAGTATAGCAGTGCTTAAAAAGGAATTATTTTTAGGTTATGTATTTCCGGCAAAGTTAAGCGGTGCCGCAAAATTATTTTTGCTTCCTTGTATACGCGTGCGCTGCGCATTTGTATTCGCTTGGCGCGCGCAAAAATACACGCATAATATGCGTACGTAAGCTATTCAACGCTCGCACGATCCCGAGTGGGGACAGTGGCTCGACGCGAGTCAAGCCGTTAAACGGCTCTCGTGGATATGCATCGAGCTTTCGATCATGTATTAGGCAAGCACGAACATCGTTCGTAGGCAGTGTCGACTCGATTCAAGCACAATTACAAACAAGAGCCCTCCAAGTATCTCGAAAAAGCGTAGGGATGCTTGCAGGCCTACTATTGTAAGGAACGGTGGGGCGCAAGCCTGCTAGCTCTATCTCTCGGTCTGCGATGCAGCTTTGACAGGGGAAAACCCCAGGTTATGCGAGAACACAGAGACCTTGGAGCCGTAAGGTATACTGGTGGAGGTCGGTAATACGGTAATCTACGCTGTTTTTTCTCTCTTTTGCTTCGTTCGTACGTCGTACAGCCCGGTATACCGAAGAAAAGACGTGGAGCATTGACTATTGACCAGCTCAGCGTGTAGTAATGCCGAAATTTCTCCAGCTCGCGTTTCTATACGCTCCAATGAGGAAAATACAATAAAGTTCCACGAGGAGCACAATTCTCGTGTATCGAAGCGAGGAGGGAAAACCGACACGATCGTAAGGGATTACGGAGCGTCGGCAAGAGAAAAGATATCTCGTTGTTTTTTTTTTTTTTTTTGTCAAAAATCGGGGCCTGTTCGCATATAGCCGCACATAATAGAGACACTAATCCTGTCGCGTTTCTAGGTCCCATATTGGCAAGAGCAAGCGTATGAATGCGGCAAAATAGCGCGCAGAGATCTCTCACGAGTCGGGATTTCGCTGCTTTGGCGCTCGTAGGCTTGCGAAAGACGTACACGGGCTACAAAGAAATTCGCAACATACAGGCTCCGAGTAGTGGCGTAGATCTGGCCAACTACGAGGGTCTCTCGTACAGTATTGATGTATACAGCTGCCTGTCAGTTCAGCGACTTACAAAGATCCCATCGATCTTATAGGCGAAAAATACCTCGATGCCGATTTCGGGGAAAAACCATCTGCCCCTTGTATACATTATAACGAGCTTCGTACTTTGTTGGCCACTGTACTATACACTGCGGCTATAATGCCTTACGTA